TTTTGCACACGCTTTTTTCTACTCTGGAATATTCTCATCAATTTTCTTGATATTTATTTATAATCCCCTCTGTTAATCCTTGATATTTATAACTGAGTGATCTGTATATATTAGTGCTGTTTCTTAAATGTGTAAAACCTGTAACATAATGTATTGTTTGGAGTTTAGTCTGTTACTGTTGCTGTTTTTACCATTTCTTCTTGGAGCAACTGTAACACACATTATTTCCTTAGGGATTAAAGTATTCTGATTCTGATTGTTTCAGGATGAGCTGCCATTATCCAATCACACATCTGCTTACCTGCATCTGTTGCTCGTTTCTCCTCCTCTTCTTTTCTCTTTTTTCTAAACTGAGCACCTGATGGCTTTGAACTTTTCTTGTCCATCTTGGTTTTAATTTTGCACTCCAGTATGAACTTAATTCACAGATTCACTTTGTCTAAGGTTTATTTCTGGGATTTCGCACAACCCAGGATTCAAATCATGAATACATGATGGGCTTGGATTTACAACATTATGAATGAAATGTGCTCTATTCGGAAGCAGCAATAAAGTTTACTTTGACTTCAGCAGCGAGCAGGCGCACCGAGGCCTCTCGCGCTCACCTTTCGCGTGTAGAATTTCGAAAAAACATCGGTGCTCGCTGCTGAAGTCAAAGTAAACTTTATTGTCATCTCCGCTACATACAGTCCAGCGTATAGAGAGACGACGAGGCTCCAGTTACAGCAGTGCAAGTAAACAAACAATAAATATTTAAGAGTAAAAGAATTAATATACACTTTAGGACTCGGGGTAAAGGATATGGAACGCCAGGACTGCCATAATGAATTAATTAAATACACCATTAAATAATTAATTAAATGTGGCAATAATTAATTAAAATTGGAATTAATTAATTAAATAAATAGTTATGATATATGTAATTAATTAATTATTGACACATTTAATTAATTATTTAATGATATATTTATTTATTTCATTTTGGCAGTCTTGACGCCTGGCTCTCATCATGAAATAATTTTATCTGTCAGCCTCACCCATCAAACTCAGGGGGCGGGGTTAACGCTGATCGAGTCAAAACCATTGCTTTGGCCTGGTGGCCATTGTTTCTAGCACACAACAACCGGCATGTGGAAGCTAACAGAACTGAGCTTTGAAAAACCCTGTTTGTGTGTCACCAAATACCGTTTTAATATTTTTTTAGCCGAGAATGTAGTGGTTTAATCTTCATGTGTCTGGTCGGTTTGTCAAGATACAGCCTCTTTGCAAAAGTGTTTCGATGATTTCGGAGATGTCTGCCCAGTCTCACGGCAAAGCGTGGGATAGACCCGCTCGCCTCGCAAGCAATCCCACCGACAAAGCGCAGGCCCCGGTACACAGCTGTAGTAACCCCCGCTGACTTCTTTTACTGAGGTTATATTTATCGGTGTTTTATTTCCTGATGTTCTTATGTGTCCTACGTGTTTCAGTCGCCAATTCTGAATTATAACTAACATTAAAAACATGTTTAAGGAGGAGAGAGAGCAAATAAATCTGTTTAACATCTGATCTTTGGGTTTTTGTTCAGTAATCAGCGTGACCTGTGTATAAACACATAAAAGAGATAACGTTGGTGTTTCCGTCATGTAGTAACTGCTGGCTTTAACTGTACAAAGGTTGTTCGACACTATGAAACACATACAGACTTCATGATGTTCGGCTAATATTTTTATTGTGAATATTAATCATGCTGACCTCGCTCTGTACACCACGCAGCGAGGTCAGCATATCCACGATATCCTCAGCTCCATGAGTTAACACAAAGTTTCCCAGCTGACTATCTAACTGCCAACTATTCCAGAGACGTGAAAATATACAGCATAAAGAAAAGTGTAAGAGACCCAGCAGCAGATTAGAATAACAGTTATACATTTAATAAATCACCAAATGAATCCAAGAAACGAGCAAACCTGTTCCGACAATTTGAATTTGTGTTCCCTCAGCTGCAGACTCGCTGCTGTTTAAATGTTTGAAAAGGAAGATTAGATATAAAAAACGTCAAACATAGACTCAGTCTGCCTTCACATTTGATATGAGGCCAGCACGTATAGTGGCCTCAGCAGGCTATTACTGAAATACACGTACTATATCATAAACTATGATATAAACAGGGAGGTCCTATTAACATGTTTAGTTTTAAAGGACACCTTCCTGCCTTTAGTCTCATTCATGAGCAGTATTAGTTTTCTTCTAACATCCAGAAGTCTGCACAATGTGTTTCATAGTTTGTAACAAGCCTTTGACAGGTAAACATAACATGACCGAAAAAGAAAAAAAAAAGAAAAAAAAAGAGAGAGAGAGTTGACATAAGAAGAGAAAATTCTCTCAATTATGGAGACAGGCAAATGGTTCATTTATGTTTGATGTGTGTTTATTCCTCCCTAAATATCGTCGGTGAAGTTCGCCATGCACGTCAGATTTTCCTGCGTATTTTTATACCTCTGCCAACAGAGAGAGAAAAAAATCACATTCTAACAGACAGCTGGTGCTTAGAATACAGTTGAATAACTATTAAAAAACAGATGATATTTAGATGATAGTTCAGTCTAACACATGTGAACCATTAAACGTCTGTGAAACTATGCAGTTATGAAACGTAACTTTAACCTCAGCCAAACCGATTTGCTCAGTTGTAAATAAAACAGCGAAGTAAACGTGACCCGACAGACAGAACCTGAGTGAATGAAGTCCAGCGTTTAACCACTGAGAGCTAAAACTCAGCTGAGGTTTCAAAGCTGTGTGCCGGTGATTGGACATCAGCCGCTGATAAAGCTGTTCGCCTATAAAGTGCTCTGTAAGGAAACGAGCTCCAGCAGCTCTGCGCTCGGGGAAAACACTATATTTACTTATCTTGTGCAGTTAAACTGTGACTATCACCAGGTAACTCGGCGTGTTTCTTGAATTAGCAGCAGGTGTTAAACAGCTGACAGATGCATGCAGGTAAACTGAGGGTCTGCTGAGCTGATCGCTGGTTTCGTGAGAAAAATGTCAGCTCGTTCTTTATGTTACAGAAGCACAGAGACACAAGACCAGGCGGAAAGAGACGATCGTTCGGTGAAAATGAGAATCTGCGAATGCAACATGTGGAACACGGAGAGTGGAATATGTAAACAAACCGGTTAACGTAACCCCCTCGGTGCACTGCATGCTAACTGTTAGCAGAGCTAGTGAAATCTCTGAAAACATCTGAGCACTTTTGCAAACATGTTCTATGTTGACAACCTGACCAGACATATGGCGCGACATTCGCGGCTAAAACACTGTTAAAAGTGTAGCTGGTGACAGAAAAACGGGTATTTTAAAACTACACCACCACCATTGCTGCTTGTGATTTGATCTGCATTCTGGGATAACTGGCTGCCCCAAGTCTACACAAGCAATCGATTATCTAGGATCGACCTGTTTTGACTTACTTTGCACGGCAACCAATCAAATGTTAGAGAAGCTGCATGGGCAGCGTTAACCCCGCCCCCTGAGTTTGATGGGTGAGGCTGACAGATAAAATTATTTCATGACGAGAGCCAGGCGCCAGGACTGCCAAAATGAAATAAATAAATATATAATTAAATAATTAATTAAATGTGTCAATAATTAATTAAAATGTGAAATACATAAATAATTAATTAAATGTGTCAATAATTAATTAATTAAATGTGTCAATAATTAATTAAAATGTGAAATACATAAATAATTAATTAAATGTGTCAATAATTAATTAATTACATGTGTCATAACTATTTATTTAATTAATTAATTCCAATTTTAATTAATTATTGCCACATTTAATTAATTATTTAATGGTGTATTTAATTAATTCATTATGGCAGTCCTGGCGTTCCATAAAAGGATCAATAACAATTTGAAATGTTTAATTTACAGTTTGATGATTTAAAGTCACACACAACCCGTTGAAAGGGGAGGGGCCTGCTGCTTCCAAATAGAGCACATTTCATTTATAATGTTGTAAATCCAAGCCCATCATGTATTCCTCGGTTGTGTGAAATCCCAGAAATACACCTTAGACTAATTGAATCTGTGAACTAAGGTGTAGGTCTGTTAGGTTATGTTGTGCTGATCCTCGGGTTGGGGGATGGGTGTTCATACTGTAGTGCAAAATTAAAACCAGTGGAAGATGCACAAGAAACGTTCAAAGTCATCAGGTGCTCAGTTTAGAAAAAAGAGAAAAGATTTTTGCTTTGAGGTAAAATCACGAGCACCAAAGTGTCCCCTCTGATGTTTGCTGTAACAGTTCAGGTCACAGCGAGGTGTGGACACACAGGTTTGTGGAAGTCATAGCAGACGGGAAGCAGCCTTTTTATTTCTGTCGATGATGATAATAATGGCAGCTATAAACTGCAACTGCTCAGCACCTGAAACACTCTCCGGTTAAACTGATGATCAGATTTTATGAATGCATGACACCGAGGTTATGACGTCAGCAGAGTAATGGTAAATGGCCTGTATTTGTAGGAGGCTTTACTAGTCCCCAAGGACCCCACAGCGCTTTACATATCCAATCAGCCACCCATTCACACACTGGTGATGGTAAGCTACATACCACCAGCCCAAGGACACAACGACCGAGACTGTTCACGCCGGGGCTCGACCGGGAACCTTCCGATTACAAGGCGCCCTCTCAACTCTTGAGCCACGATCGTTGAAAGGTTTTTATCACCAGAAAGGAAGCAATGCAGAAGCAGAAAACGTGCACGTGCGCGTGGCTGAGAGTGAGAAGGGGGAAGTCGAGGTTGTCTGTAAGAGAGGACGTGCGGATAACGGGAGCCACTCTTCACCGCGGCCGTGAGAGGAGCAGCCCGGGCTCCTGTGACAGACTCTGATTCAGGTGAGTCTGTAAGTCTGTGAGGACGCAGCGCTCACAGAGGCTTCCTGGGATCAGTTACGCGTTTATTGGCGATGAAAGAAATATTTGGCTCTTACTTAGCTGAGAGAACAGCTCCGGCTGTCACGCGTGTCCTGAGCTTTTATGACTGTGCACCGTCCTGCGCGCTGCTGGAAACCTTTGAGTCTTCAAACTCAGTTTGCTTTGAATCATCTTTATCGTGCTGACCTGAGCCGGTACAGTCTGGAGATTTACAGCTTTGCTTCTTTTTCATTCCTTCCATGTTTGACTTCCTGTTTATTTATTTTAATATTAACAGTGTTTCCGTGGTGTGCGCGCGTGCTCGTCTGTGTGACTTTGTTTTATGTCGGATCAGCGCTTAAAGGCTTTCAGCAAACCAAAGAGCGAGCCGTTATAGATCCGGACACTTTCTTCGGAATCTGCTTTTATAAACACCATAAAATGAAGTACTTTCCCCCCTTTTTCTTTTCAAGTAAATATAAAATTGTCAAAACTGACCTGTAACACCACAGATGTTGCTGTAGTTCATAACATTAAAACGAAAAATAAATAAAACAAATGTATTTTACAGACATATTGAAATACATCTCAGTAATATTGAGGTAACATAACAACATTTATTTTTTTATAGAATTGTCTTGATGTTCAGTTTACCTTTTTTGTTTTGAATGTAAAAAGAAAAATAGTAAACCAGTATAACCAGTATAAACCAGCTATATAAATACAACGAAACTGAACTGAATTACTGTTGAGTGCATGTAGCTCAGATTTCATTTGCTGCAGTGAGAAACCAGAAGTTTCTCACTGAAAACACATCACTGTGCAAAGAACAAAGAACAGCTTCATGATGGTTTATTTCAAGCCAAGTTTGACTCGCTACTTCATCAGTAAAAAGTTGTTTGCATTTATGACACGATGCCTGTAATACACCTGAGGTTTGGCTGCTAAATCTATTTGTTTAACTGGTTAGCAGCTGCATGCATAGAGCACACATTTGCAAAGTACCACAATCCCAGAATTTCCCTCCGTGATGCTCTGTGGGCTCTCCCCACTGTGTGGATCCTTCACAGAAAGCTGCTCTCCAGGATGTTTGACTCTGTAGCTGTTGTTGTTATTTGCTTACAGCATGCAGAGGTGGAACAGCTGCTGTCTGTGAGCCCGACACCATGTAATCCTGTGAGTGTGTGCTAAACACTGTTTAAACACAAAGTACTGGGATTATATCACTTTATTACTGTGATCTTGTTACTAATCTGAATACAATGTGGGCTCATTACATTTCCAGTAATACCTGCTGGAGGCCAGCCAGACTTCATGAGGAAGATGAAACAGTGTGTTTACACGCAATAATAGATATGTGACCACAGCATGTTTTACCTTTGTTTTACAGGCAGACATGTTAACTGCAGGCCTCGTGGTCGGACTGCTCGGTGGTAAGATATGTTTGGGCTTTACTCCTGGTGGAGGATGTGCTGCTACATGATGCTCAAATATCCCCAGAAATATGCATGTTTGGGCTCGATTTGTAATTTGTACTTTTATATTTATTTAAGGACTAACAAACCTAAAGTTATTAAAGACCATCTGCTCCATTTGTCTTTCTTTCATGAGCCATATTTAAATCATACAGCTATTACAGCTCTATGATTTACCATGTCCTGGCTATAAGTGTGCTGCATCCATACTAAATCCAAGTAAATGCATTCCAGCTGTATCGGCTTCAGTGAAAGCTAAATGGAGTTTACAGCACACAGCTGAGGCTCTGTCTGCATGTTAAGTGCTGATGTATCGACTGAGCGTCCTGTCCAAGTGTCTCCTGCGCTGTGTGAGGCTCTTATTTATTGAACAGACACAAAGCCCCTAAAGCTCTTCAGTCATCATTCTTGGCCTCTGCAGCTCGAGGTGCCCCAGACAGCAAATATTTAAACCCTCTGGTAAACAATCATTCTCAAGCCGACTAAACTCTCAGTAGAAACCAGCTAACTACCTGCTAACTCTGCCTAACCTTGTAAATCCTCTTGTTTATGACACTCTGCTGTTTTTAACCTTCAGTTTGTTTCTTTGATTTTAGGGATGAAGGAGCATTTAGAGCTAATAATACCACAATAACCCAACAGATCCATCTCATCTCACTGGAGATTTTTAATATTAAATTACGTTTCACTTAGTTTAATTCAATTTATTTATTTAGCAACAAAAACAGCTTTATATTATAAGGTGAAGACTGGACAGTAACGCAAAAAAATACAGAGAATCCAAAACAACTGATAGTAATTTGGGAAAGTTAATGACCCAAATTAGCCACTAGTGTGAGAGACTGCACTCCAGCCAGAAGGAAAAAGGTTTGTGAGGCACAAAGAACCAATCAGATTTCTGTTTTTAAAATAAAATCTTTAAATAGTGAAAAACAAACTTGAAGTTGGTCCTGTCAGTGCCTGTCTGTTTACAGTTTGGCTGGTTTTCTTAAACTGTGCGTTACATCACTGATGTCATAATTACATCGTTACTGATGTGTTTGTGTTTCTTTTTCCAGCCCTCATCTCGGGTCAGCGAGCGGAGCTCCTCGGTGCCACTGTTGGAGGCTCTGTGCTGGTTACCTGTAAACTCCCAGTTCCAACAAGTCCAAAGTGGTTTTACTGGCAGGAGGACGGGACTGAAAACATTTTGATTCATTGTGAACAAACGTGTCAACAAACAACATCTGAAGTCTACAGGAACAGAGTTACAGTCTTTGCTTCTGAGTTTGGATCGGGGAACATCTCCATTAAACTTCACAGTGTTACAGCTGCAGACGACCAGAAGTCGTTCTGGGTCATGGCTTCCTTCAAAGACAGACGTGAGCGCCGCTGCAACTCAACACTGCAGGTTTCAGGTAAGGAAGATATCTTCTTACGTCCAGATCGAATACGTCTCCCTGAGACTTTTCATATAGCTCTGACTCTGATGTTCTTGTTTCTGGCATGAAGTGTTTGTGCTGATGTGCTCTGAATGTCTGTGGTGTGTAAACAGTGTTCACCTCTGTCACAGCTTCCTACAGAGATATAAACCTGACCATTGACACAGCAGACACTGTGACCTGCACAGCGCGTGGAGGATACCCTGAATCCAGCGTGTCATGGTCGGGTCAAAACACGACCGGTGGTGAATATGTGGACCTGCATGAATACAAACCGACCCACGAGAGGGACGCAAAGGATGGAACCTTCACTGTCAGGAGCTCCGTCAGTGTGAAGGAGCTGGTGTCGGTGACCTGCCGCATCACCAACCCTCGCTCCAACCAAAGCATCAACACCACCACAAAGATAGACAGAGATGGTGCTGGTGAGTGCAGCGCATCAGCAAACCCCAGTATCTGTCAGAGTGGGAGTGCTGGTGGAGGCGGGGCTAGATAATGTTGTAACATTAGCACTATTTTGTTAAACTCAGTGCTTGTTTGAGCCTAATCAGTATTGAAGGGACGCTGCTGATATGTTTCTGTTGTACATCCGTCCCCCGATGGATGTTCACACAGTTTCAGGTAGAATCTGGGGAACATTTTTAAAATGAAGCAATAAGCCATTAAAAATCATTAAAAGCCAATAAAAATCAGGGACTTTCTGAGTCAGCAAACACTTCACTGAGTCGAAATCCTGTAAATCCTCCAAGACCTTGCTGGATCATCCTGCAGAATGTTTGATGAACGCTATGACAGAGATGACACCGATACTGCCATCACTGTCCTGACAGTGTTACATGGCTGTCCTTCAGATTTCAACTTCAATTTTATTTACACAGCGCCAAATCACAACAACAGTCGCCTCAGGGCACTTTATATTGTAAGGTAGACCCTACAATAATACATACAGAGAAAAACCCAACAATCATATGACCCCCTATGAGCAAGCACTTTGGTGACAGTGGGAAGGAAAAACTCCCTTTTAACAGGAAGAAACCTCCAACAGAACCAGGCTCAGGGAGGGGCGGGGCCATCTTTGACATACTTATAGGTGAATGAGTGGTGGTGTTATTACAGACGAGCTGAGCACTCAATCAGATAAAAAGTCTGAGAAATCAGACAGAAACTCTGTGTAAGGCCCAGGTGGACGATAGATGATAACAAGTAAGACTGGTTTCTGAGTTTCACAGCTGGGGTGGACGAGGCGAAGCATCAGGCTTTCAAATGAATTAAAAGTCTGTCTTGGTCTTTCATTAATTAATAGGCTGGTGTGAAAAATTGCTGCCACACCTCCCCCTCGGCCTGTGCTTCGAGATTTCTGGTAGTTAGAATGACTCGGGGGTGTTGATTCATTTAAACTAACATAATCATCCTGCTGCAACCAGGTTTCTGTAAGGCAGAGTAAATCGATTTGTTGATCAATTATTAAGTCATGTACTAACAGAGACTTGGAGGAGAGAGACCTAATATTTAATAATTGATCAGTGGTTGTTGATCAATGGTCATGAGAATTTGCATTCAGTCATTATGCAAATGTACTGTTTATAAGGAAACCTGCAGTCAGCTGAAACTGAAGACGTCACCTGATGATGACGAAACGTTTCTCCCACTGCAAACGTCCAGATGAACTGAATGTTTAATAAAGTTTTACTCTTTGGTTCAGATGTGGATACTGTATTGTTCTGTCTTTGTAATTGTTTATGTTTAAGTTGTTTGTTGCTGGTTTTTAGTTTGTTTTTTGTCTGTTTGGGAGCTGACACAGTCTCTATGGAGATGGGTTTTTGGGGGGTAGCAGGAGGAGAGAAGCTGCAGAGAGGCGTGTAAGACTGCAACTCTGCTTCCTGGTCCCAACTCTGGATAGTCATATTTTGGGGGGTTTAATAAATTTGTCCATATTTCTAGAAATGAGAGCTGCTCCATCCAAAGTGGGATGGATGCCGTCTCTCCTAACAAGACCAGGTTTCCCCCAGAAGGTTTGCCAATTATCTATGAAGCCCACATCGTTATGGGACACCACTGTCACTGTTAGAATTTCATTAATAAGAGAAAATATTCATGTAGCCTAACCTGGATTTTAAGGTAACCTGAATAATAATTACAGTTGTTGGTAAAGCAGCCCAGCTCATTTCTGTTGTTCTGTCATATTCTTCACAGGTCCAGACACAAATCCAGGAGTGCACGCATTCATACGTCTAGTTTCTGTCTCAGTAGCATTAGTAGCTGGATTAGCAGTAGGCACATACATCTGCTACAAGAAACGTAAGTAAAACATTGAGTTATGTTCTTTTAACATTTACAGTAAACATATGATGTAATGTTGAAAATGAATTGTTCAAACACTGATCAATAAATCAGTGACAGCAATAATCAGTCAAAAGTTTGAACAGTCATAGACCCTGTTAGGCTTTTGGATTCAGGTCTTCAGAGCTGTGATGGAGAATCTTTGCACTTTGTCAGCGTCGTGTCTTCATTGATGACCTCTTCGGGTCACATGCAGACATGCTTGAGCAATCAGCAGGAGCATACTGCTGTGATCGCTTCATGTTTTTGTGATGTTAAAGTGGGCGGGGTCAGAGCCACCGTTTTGACCCCGCCTACGGAGCACTTAGCTGTTTCATAAAGAGAGCGAACGTTCATCCGTCTGTAAAGTCACACAGGCTGTCCACAAACACACGTTTTAAATGAGACAAACGTGTCACACAGCACAGCAACACAACGTTATTATTAACCTGTAAACTGAGTCGTCTTTACAGTCGTACTGTAGCTATGGCTGTATTGTTGTGTGGTCATAGACTCAGCCGTAGCTACATAAGTAACACTGCTGTCACAGTTACACAGTGTATGAAGCAGAAGAAACGTTTTCTCACAGTGCAGAGAGGATTCATTAAGTCGGCCCCGACTGTTGCAGCGATCCATCAGAGGACATTTAGCTACTCCAGTGTGGGAGAGTAACAACTCCTCGGGGAAGATCATTTCAGCTCAGGGCAAACGTCAGGGTAGGAACGTAGATCGACCACTAAACCACAGCAGACCAGTACATGCACCTGCTGCCCATTCATACAATGATCATAGTAAAGCATCAGTACACTGAGAGGTAGCTGCTGTTTCTGTTTAAACAGATTTTTGTATTCTATCCAGGTAGTTTACAAGGAAGTAAAGCAACCTTCAAACTTTGTTAACTGCCAGAAGTCAAAGCTCAGCAAGTCCTAACAGGTCGTGTTACAGGAGTGAAAGGTCAGCAGTCTGTAGAGCTGCAGAGTGAGTGACTGGAGGACCCTGCACCAGCTGTGCTAACGACACTTATGTGCCTGGTCTGTGATTTCTGGGAAGAGACAGAGTCTGTATCCCAATTCAGGGTCTGCAGCCTTAACGGTCCACAAGGGCCGCGTACTCAAAGACCGCTAAGGCCGGAAGTGCGAGGCTTGTGAAATGGGACGGTCTAGCCTCCGTCGCGCTGCCCAGGTTGCCTAGCAACCATGATACTAACAGCTGGAAACGTGTCATACAGCTGTGTTTGACAGAGATGAAGGAGAAAACCTTTTGTTCATTTGTTTGTTTCTACATGAGCTTTGATCATTCTCTGTGAGATGAAGCTCAGCTATTGAACGGCGTATATTTAAAGTAAAGGCTTTAAAACCAAGTTAGTACAAACGTCACTAATGTCACATGACTTTGCCGACATGTGGCCAACAGTCATGTTTAATGCTCTTCGTTATTAAACATTTGCACATCAATAAGTGACATAATATTCAGTACTTAAAGTTCACTCTTTGGGCGCCCCTCATCTGCCGTTTTTTATCGGCAAAATTATCCACACCCACCGCCGCGCTATGCATTCTGGGATATGTTGGGCCACGAAGTCTACACTGCCACAGCCTTAAAATTCAGGGAAATGAAGGACGCATTTCAGGGCCGCATTTCGAGCAGCCTTCGAATTGGGACAGCCTTCGTCGCGTCGCTGTGACGTAATCGGCCTTAAAATGCGCCTTTAAGGCTGCAGACCCTGAGTTGGGATACAGCCACTGTTACTAACAAGACTGTTAGTCAAGACACAGAGGCATAACATATCCAGGATTACAAAATAAAACAGGAAGTGACAGTGACCGTAACTGAGTTAGATTCGAGCTTAACTTCTATCTGTCAGATCTTTGGTGAACCAGTCAGGAGCTGGCTGTTTCTTCCCACATCCATATTTGACTTTCCAAATGAAACAATATTTTTCTCACAGCACTTCAGTTATTTAGTGTTTCCTGCTCCTAACCTTTTTCCTCTGCTTTTGCTTTTAGGCTGCAAATCTGGCGATGAATCCAACGGACAACTGAATGGAGGTAATTCTGCAGTGAGGTCAAAAAGATCTATGATGACACGATTGGAGGGTCACAGCTCCACAGTTGATTCTTGACTGAAGAGCTTTGCTTTGTTTCTGGTGTAGAACAGCCAGGAGGTGAAAACCATGCAGACCAACAAATGGAGCTCCAAGAAGGTAAGAAGGGGGGAGGCGGTCCTGGTGCTCTCACAGCAGAGGTTCAACATCTGGAACGCCTGGGAAATAGTGACATATTTGGAAATATATGGTAGAGACCATGATGGTGTTACCAACACTGTGCAGACGGCTATATTTCAAAATTAAACTCGTCATGGAGAGAAGGAACCCCTGAAATCAGCTGGAAGGGACTCTGGTAGTCATGCAAAGAGTGATCCTGCAGCGTGAGGGTCTCGGAGCTCTCACATCCAAAGACAGCGTGTCACATGTCACAGTTCTTTAATGTTTGTCAACCATTGTTTCTTTGATTTTGTTAGAATCTCAAGAGGCAGCAAATGAAGGGAGCAGAGACGACGAGGATCCACAGGATGAAGGTTTGGACTTTGGCTCACTCACAAACACAATGAGATAAGATGACTGACACACTCAGCAGCTACACTCTGATGTGCTGTTTCCACAGATGAGTGGGGAGATGCACATCGAGACAACGTGGACCAAAACCTTCTAGATGGAGCAGGTAGTGTTCGTGTCTGTGCTGCACCGAGTTAGCAGACATTGACAGTCTGTAGAAATATGAATAAAAATGTAATTTTAAAGCAGCACTTTGGTCACACCTTAACTGTTTGAGTCACTGTGATGGTGAACAGACACTGAATAGAAAATGAGAAGTGTTTGATGTCCAGATACTTACAGCTCTAACTGTGCTGCACACACTCTGGTGAAGAGGATTAAAACCTACATTCATCTGTTTCACAGTCGAGAAATCGCTGTTGGATCGTTTCTGAGAAAAATGTTTTGTCTGCTTTTCTTTTAGAAAACCAGGAGCACCGCCCTGCAGGTGGTGCAGAGCAAGGCGGAGGCAGCGTGCACGCAAACACTGACTAAACTGAGGATGGATTCATTGTTCGACTGCACTCACACACGCTGTGAACAGGACGACGGCTGTGCGGCCGACACACCAGAGGCGTCGGCAGAGTCGTTTCCTGAAGAGTTTAAACCTTTTTATTTGCACAGTTCAGTTTAAAATGACCTGTTATTGGCTCGTTCTTAGTGCCAACGAGTTCTTCTCCAGGCGGACTCAGTGAAACCTACAGTAAAACCAATGAACGATGCAGGGAGCTAAAATGTTCTGTTTGAGCTCTGCTTTTGCCTCAAGACGCCGAGAAGGATGAAACGATCAAATGAACCGTGAGCCGGTGAAGCTGCTGTGACTGACTGAGCTCAGCTTTCCTCGAGCAACAAAACAAGGATTTCGCGTCTTTACTGTTTCCCAGCTGAACAGGGTCCGATCAGCTGCACCGTTTTCTTGTTTGTCACTTTATTTAAAGATTCTGAACTGTAAGAGTCTACAATCCAGAATTTCATAACTTAATGCTGTTTTAGATGTTAGCTGACATCTGCTGTATGCTGTAAATACAGATTATAGGAGGCTGAATCCATCTTTGCTGTGTGAGAATGAGGAGCAGTGATGACTAATAATGATGACGATGATTCAGCAGCATGTGAATGGAGTGTTGCTATGAACATGTTCACAACAGTTTTACTCCTTTACTTCATCTTTTATATATTTATTTATGCATTTTAATTTGTGTGCATTCGATACACAGCTGGTACAGTAACACACTGACAAACATGAAACACTGGAAATTTAGGGACAGGGGGGTGGAAGAGGCAACAGGACAATTTATGCATGATCCACGTGGTCAGATGTTCATATGCTGCGCTCACTGATCCTCTGAAGCTAGTAATACTGACCAGGGAGCAGAAAGGAAGCAACGCGTTTGCAGGTAATTTCAGATGCATCAGCTTAACAAACAAACTGTTTCTATGCTGTCAGTGTGTCTGGCAGCTAAAGGTCCAACTCACAGAGAAACGAAACTAACTCGAGAAAGATGAGAAAGGAAGGAGAGAGCTTCAAGTGCTCATTTAAAGCTTACATGTCAGTCCTCATGTTTTTGAATCAGTCCAACAGCGTCACGATCAGAACTGCCAGAGTTATTTTTCCAACTGGACCATTACAGCATTTCTTACAATGGTCCACGAGTCAGAATCTATTAAAGGTTTTTTATTTATTTAATTTTAAAAATTTGAGTTTGTACAACCACAACGTAGGAGACCGGGGGACGGAAAAGAGAAAGGAGAAAGAGGCGAGGAGGCGAGGCGAGGAGACGAGGTGAGGAGAAGAGGCGAGGAGACGAGGCGCTCCCCCAGCTGCTGGTTACGCCAAAGCACTTTCCCCACGCTGAGCCCTTACAACTGATGTTAGGCTCCCCCCACCCCCGACTTTCATGTACTCACTTTTCTGTTTACATTAATATAGACACAAGGTTCGGTTCCCTTTGCATCAGACCAGCGGAGCTATGTTTTTATTTCTTATGTTACATTTCAGAGCCGGTACTTTTTTACTTTGACTTGAGTAAAGAGGTTGAATCAGTACTTCAGCTTTTACTGGAGTATTCTTTAAGTGTACTTTTGCCACCTCTGGTTATTCCATACTTGTTGGAAGTTCACAGGATTTTGGGTAACTGGTGCTACAACATGCGCTGGTTCACTTTGGAGCCTCATTTCATCCTAAAACTAAAGGAGAGTTTAACAGGATATTTAAAGAACGTGTTGAGTTTGTGTTAGCTGCAGACACACAGCCAGCAGGACCTCCTTTACTGATGCTTCCAGCTGCAAACATCACATTTCAGGGAGACTTCACTGTAAACACAAAGGTCTGTCACACCTGCTCTCCGACGCGTCGACTCTCTCTGCTCTGCACGTGTCCACGACCTAACACACTTACAGTCATCACCACCACAACAGCAACACAACGGGCAGCTAGTGGTCGCAAAAGCACCGAGCACTCACGGCTCCACTGAACCTCGCCTGGAGCCCGAGAGCGTCTCCTCACTCCTGGTTATGGATTACAGATGACATCATGACCTCGGTTCTTCTGAAGAGTCCGTGTGACTGTTGTAAAGAAATGTACAGTAATAAATGTGCATGCGTCCGCTGTATGTATATTTATATTAACTGTGTTAGCACAAAGTGACGATCAGATTACTGTAAAGAATCAATGAATCTGCTGTTATGAGCACAGACTGGGATTAAAAGTTCTAAATATTACTTTCAGTTACTTCTAAATTATATTTCATTTGTGTCATGTGACACACCTGACAGCACGTCTGTCCTTCCTGTGGTGATGTCAGTACGATAAAGTCAGGAATCCCTAACACGTGAGGACGATCAGCTCCAATCAGCTCAGGGGAATTTAAACCTGGACATCTGTGGGACTGAGTGACCCCTTTTCTTCCCCCCATCCATCCATGCACTTATCCTTTTCAGGGTCACGGGGGCACTGGAGCCTATCCCAGCTGTCATAGGGCAAGAGGCAGGGTACACCCTGGACGGGTCGCCAGTCTGTCGCAGGGCCAACACACAGGGACAGACAACCATTCGCATTCACATCTAGTGGCAATTTGGATTATCCAATTAACCTATCCCCACAAGCTGCATGTCTTTGTATGGTGGGAGGAAGCCGGAGTACCCGGAGGGAACCCACGCAAACATGGAGAGAACATGCAAACTCCACACAGAAAGCCCTCGGCCTGATGGTGGAATTGAACTCAGGACCTTCTTGCTGTGCGGCAACAGTGCTAACCACCGCCTCTGTCAGTGCGCCCCAGGGTAGCTGTGGCTACAATGTAGCTTGCTATCGCCAGTGTGTGAATGTGTGTGTGAATGGATGAATGACTGAATGTAGTGTGAAGCGCTTTGGGGTCCTATGGACTAGAAAAGCGCTATACAAATGCAGGCCATTTACCATTTTACCATTTACCACCGTGCCGCCGTGCTACCCTTCTTGTTTTTTTTAATTGAGAAAATGTTATTTTTTTATTTAGTTTTATTCTAATCGGTAAACAGATAATTACCATTACAGAGGTGAGGGAGGAGACGTGCTGCTTCAGCTTTCATTCTAAACGACTTCTGAGCTGCCACTCGACTGATTACAGACGGTTATTGAACACTGAAATATTTGCTGGGATCATTTTCAAATGGCTCTGAAATATGATTAATCTTTTATCTGTTCGGACAAACTGTAGCCTCAAACATCAGACTCAATATTGAGTGCAGAAGTGGTTTATTTAGTATTCTGAAAGTTAGAATGAAATAACATCAGGAACATCACTACCCCACAGGCGGCATTTAACATTCCCATTGCTGTGCTGTGAATGCGAGCGCTCGGCTTATTATTAGAAAGCATCGACGCAGTCAGAAACACCTGAAAGCAAACACACAGGAAGTGACCTGAAGGCCACTCTAAAGTCCTCATTTTGTTTTTCTAAAGCCACTCAGAGTCGGACTTGGATCATTGTCCTGCTGCAGATACAAAATGTGCTTCAGCTTGAGGTCATGAAGGTGTTTACTTGTGTTATCTTGTTGCTGTTGATGAGTGGGAAACACTCTGTTTCCTCAGATTGAGCATACACAAGACAGGACAACACCACATGGCACCTGTGCACACCACAGCACAACAACACAGGAAATGGTTCATGGCTGTCAGAGGTTTCAGATTCTGTTTGGAATAAAGCTCAGTGATAAAAATTGTGAACAGTGAAATCTGAAGATCTGAAACTGTAGAGGAGGACGGACGAGAGATCTTCAGTCACACGGCACCTCCAACCTTTGTCTTCTCAGTCAGTTCTCTGGAAGGAGAAATACAAGCTGACCTTAGAAGTGGCAGCGCTGCTTCCTCTTCTTCACTGTGAGTCAGGATTTGCGTCATGAGGTTACAGAAAGCGGGTACTTCATAACAGAAAAACGAGAACTGCTGCCCTGATTTCTGTTTTTTGACCAGGACATGTCCAGGCAGCACGGTGGCACGGTGGTTAGCACTGTTGACGCACACCAAGAAGGTCCTGAGTTCAATTCCACCATCAGGCCGGGGTCTTTCTGTGTGGAGTTTGCATGTTCTCTCCATGTTTGCGTGGGTTCCCTCCGGGTACTCCGGCTTCCTCCCACCGTCCAAAGACATGCAGCTTGTGGGGATAGGTTAATCGGATAATCCAAATTGCCACTAGATGTGAGTGCGAATGGTTGTCTGTCCCTGTGTGTTGGCCCTGCGACAGACTGGCGACCCGTCCAGGGTGTACCCCGCCTCTCGCCCTATGACAGCTAGGATAGGCTCCAGCGCCCCCCGCGACCCTGAAAAGGATAAGCGGAAGCAAATGGATGGATGGATGGATGGACCAGGACATGTCCTTCAACGCACATACTAAACAAAAATGTAGGACTGCTTTCTTACATTTGTGCAACATCTCTAAAACTAGAAATATCCTGTCTCAGAGTGACGCTGAAAATTTCTCCTGTATTGGATTCTCTTCATTGGCTCCCTGGGAGGCAGAGCCTTCAGTTTTCAGGCCCCTCTTCTGTGGAACCAGCTTCCAGTTTGGATTCAGGAGACAGACACTATCTCTACTTTCAAGATTAGGCTTCAAACTTTCCTTTTTGCTAAAGCATATAGTTAGGGCTGGACCAGGTGACCCTGAATCCTCCCTTAGTTATGCTGCAATAGACGTAGGCTGCCGGGGATTCCCATGATGCACTGGGTGTTTCCTCTTCACTCACCTCTCTGCATTTAATCATTAGTTATTATTAACCTCTGGCTCTCTTCCACAGGGTGTCTTTGTCCTGTTTCTTCCTGTTTGTGTAAGCCGTGAGACCAGTTTTCCCGCGATTCACTCGCGTACGTCAGTTTGAAGAGGAAAAAGAACTCCACGGGACTCCGATGTGAAAAGATGTAACAAAAAATTTATTCCACAGTTTTTGCATCTTACAGGAGTGGTCAGGTTTAACTTGTCCTCAACAAAATAACCTACTACGGAAGGAAAACCGTGTGGCTCTGTTCTACCCTGCTGCCCCGTATAGCTTATGCCGTGTTAACTCCTTTTCTCTCTCTCTCCCCCCTCCCGCACCGCATGCACTAATTTGCATACATCCGTGATGCCCGGATTTTACTATAAACACGAGTCTTTAAGGCACATGTATTCATGGTACTACGTAACCTAGTTCCACCATAAACATGCATCTATTTCCTAAAATTATTAATTACACAAACAAGCTTAACAACAGCGAAATATAAATACTAAAACATATGAACTATCTTAACTTGGCTCCCACCCTGTTAAAAGGGAGTTTTTCCTTCCCACTGTTGCCAGATCTGTGCTGGGAACATAGTGATGATTATGGAGAATGTAGATCATTTACATAAACAGGAGGACCAACAACACTCTTGACTGGTTTATTTGGAAAGTGAATGTTCTCATTTTAGATATGCTGTCATGCTCCCGGTGACTGGCTGTGTTTTTCCACCCCAGTGGAGCCCACATCAACACACCTGTCATGATCACCTGTGTGTGATGCTGGATGATCACTTAGCAGTATTGAAGACCACAACTATTCATCTCTTCATCTGCGTAGCTGTGTTAGTAATACGGCGCCTTTGCTTCTTGTGGTTTATTTGTTCGTGTTCACTTAATCCAGTCTGTCACATGTCCTCAGGTCTCCGTACCGCAGTGCCCCTCCTGACCTTTCTCGTGC